CCCCCCCCCCCCCCCCCCCCCGGTCTCTTCGGTGCCAGGGGACCAAACCCAAAAACGAAAAGGTGCAAGCCATCGATTGATTTATTTCTAACCGATTATGTTATTAGTACACATTTTATTCACTAATTTAATTTTTTTCGTTTTTTGTTCTACATTGGTCCACGTGCTTTTAAGGTCGCATATGAATTTTTTTTCCAGATGAGTGCTTTTAGCTCAGGTTCACGTATTCTTTTCGCTTCTTCAAAATGCTCACTCAGTGAATATTCCGTATATAACAATGCTCAAATCATATTTCCTTTTGACAAAGGTTAGAGGTACATTGTCCGCTAATCGAACTTATTTGAAAAGTGCTTCTAACTTACACAGCCCAAAATGATTCGTAAAAATCAAAATATACAACAAAAAAGGTCAATTCAATAGTTTGCGACGGGGCTTTGAAGTTGTTATGGTAAAATGATGTGCCAAGGCAAGACATGAATCGACATGTCCTATGAGTAGATTCACTCATTCAACTATTGTACAAGTGAAAGACAAGTGTCCTTTCATTTTCATATGACCTTGCTTTGTAGAGATTTTTTTTAAATAAATTTTATAGAAAGTAATTTTTTTTAGAATGTATGTAAAAAATAAAAAAAAAATTATGTATTCAAGTATAAAATTATTTTAATAGAATAATGTATGACTGAAAACAAAATTATAGACCCGACCCAATTGGCGAACCAAAAATATCATCGAATCATTGAATTAGTAGTTCAATCGATGAGTCAATAATATACTATAATTTTAATTAAAAAAATATTTATAAAATAAACATAACAGTTATTCTTACTCAATAAATCATGCTACATGTACATAGTGATGGCAAAAAAATCCGCCCCGCCTCGACGGGTTGGTGGGGCGGGGCGGGGGTGCCCAGCCCCCGAAGCTCCCTGAACCCATCCCGTGAAGAATAAAAAAAATAATTTACAAATTAAAAACAAAAAATAGTTAATTGGAAGTTTTTGAAAAAAAAAAAAATAAACGGGGCAAGCTTGTGCCCCGAACCCGTCCCGCCCCGCCTAAGGTGGGGCTGGGTGCGGGAGTGTCGAGGCGGGGGTGCCCCGCCCTGAACCCACCCTTTGTCATCTCTACTTACTAGTCACAATCATAGAACGCTGCAATCACAACAACAAATTTTATAGGTCACGACTTATTTCACGGTCACAAATTCTTGATCACAAATTATCAAATTAATTGGTCACAACTTATTTCTTGATAACTAATTGTCAAATTAATTGATCACAACTTATTTTACAGTCATAAAATATCAAATTAATTGATCACAATTTATTTATCAATCACAAATTATTAAATTAATTGATCACAATTTATTTCTCAATCACATATTATCAAATTAACAGGTGACATTTAAATTAAATGTTCACAAATTACCCTTCATTCCCTGCACCTCAACTCACTCCCTTCCACCTTCATGTGTGGAGATCGATCATTGCATAAGAAAGTAGGTGTAAGAGTCAGAAAGCAGGAATCAGATCATTACACATACACACTCACATGGTATGAAGCAGCGTTGCCCGTCGCCGCTGCCGCACGCCGCATTGGCGGCGCCGAAGGTTGCCAATGCTGAAGAAGAACCAGAAGAAAACAGCACAAATTGGCCACGTACCTGAATGAACAGAAACTACACAGATCATAAAAGAGATAAGAGTCAAGACTGTTGAAATTGACACCACAAATCTGAACCTGCCCATGAAAAATTCACGCTACCGTATTTCTTATCATAGAAATCATTCCCAAAATTTGCTGCTTCTCCGCATTATAGTTCACTTTTCAATGTCCTTACAGACCCACAGCCAATAAAGCCATCCTCGATATCCAACATCAGATCTCCAATCAAAGATTTTTGTAGATTTGGCTATGAAGGAACATGGTAGAAGTGCCGATAGGGAGAAACGGAAGAGAGAAAGCTTAGTAGTCATTTAATTATTGTTAATTAATTGGGGATTAGATGAGGTGGGTGTGGAATTAGACCTGATTTTTGAAAAAAAATTCAGACAACATGATTAATGAAATTGAAAGTTAAACTGTATGGTTTGAGGTAATTTTCAGGGTAATTAGCACATAACTTCCTCATCTTCCGTTATTATTGTAAAAACGTACTTTCCTTTCATTTTTTTGACGTTTTCACTCTTATTTTCACATTTCATTGCGCAAAAGGTCTTTTTCATCTATTTTTTCAATTAAAAATTGTGAAATAATTAATATATCCTTCTTTTTAAATAAAACGAAAAAGAAAAAAACGAATTGCAACCATAATCTCAAATTTTTTTAAAAAGTGCAAATGAATCTCAAATAAAATATTAAAAGAGCATTTAGCACACATAATGTCCTTGGCTTTCACTATTTTAGCTAAAAATGTCTCCGCCTTTTATTTTTTTGGCATTTTCACCCGTAATTAGTAATTACACATTTGATTGCCTAAACCATCATTTTTATCCAATTTCTCAATAAATAGCTGTGAAATGATGAATACACACTCATATTTAAATAAAAAAGTTAAACAATTAATTATAACCTTAGTTCCAATTTTTTGAAAAAAGTTCAAATGGTCCCAATAAATTATTAAAAGATTATAAATTAATTTTTTTTTTTTTAAAAAAAGTGTAAACTAGCCCAAATAAATTATTAGAAAATTAGAAAATAGTTTTTTTTTTAAAAAAAAAAATTCTCAAAA